AGGATTTTAGACAAAGAGGTCCAAGGAGAGCATCGCGGCTATAGGAGGAACAGGGGCATCATGGAGAGCGTTATCTGCATGCCTACCTGTCATCCATCTGCCATGTTCCCAGTGTCCTGTAACCCTCTTTCTATTCACTCCTCCCTCCCTCCCTCCCTCCCTCCCTCCCTTCCTCCCCCCTCCCTCCCTCCCTCCTCCACCCACCCCCTCCCCACTCATCTCTGTCCATCCATCCACCAACCTACCCACCCACAAAAGCATCCATTCAACATATTCTCCCTGGGCACCTGCTAGAGATCAGCTCCTTGCAGGATGCTCCTCAAGGAACTTACAGTCCACTTCAGAATAATGCCTCTAGATGGCAGCCTGGGACAACTTTTGCCTGATTTTCAATTGCATCTCCCCCCCACCCCCACCCCCTTACCTCAAGTACTGAGCACTGGTGTACAGGTTGCTAAATAACTTCAGAAGCCACAATGTAGCTGTATCAAAAAAATGTTTGATCTTCTTCGTCTCTTTAGTTCCAACCATATCCGATTTATGTAGACACCAGCAATGAAAACTTACTTATTAAAACCATGCTGTCCTGACACAATCTGTAACCAGAAGCGAGCTATACACAGGGTGTACACAATTCCAATTCCCCCATCTCTGCTGGTCTCTTTGGCAAACTCCTATGCTCTGAAATTCAGCTCAAAAACAACCTGCTTGTTTACAGCTGTCATAGTTCTGATTTCACAGGTTCTTGACTCACACAGACACTGTATTTTGTCACCATCCCAGCAGTTAGTGGCCATACCAAGTTGACATTAATCACAGGATGCCTTCTCTCTGAACCTGGGGCTGACCTGGACCACAGTACTGCATCTTTTCACAGGTGTGAATAACACACACTGAGGTCCCCAGAAACGTTGGCTGGAAATGGAGTGTGCCTGGCCTCGTATAGGCCTCGTTAGTAAGGACGATCCATTAGCTGACACTGTGTTTCCTTCTCACCCAATAATTAATTACCCATATGTATGTCGAGGTATGTCAGAGCTACAAACGTTGAACATACTGCAGCATGTGAGGCCATCCCAGGAGCTCCCACTCTCCTGGGGCCTGAACTCAGACACTCATCGAAGGTGGACTCTCCAGGGAAAGACCTGGACTGGGTGTCTATGAGGCATCAGGTTAAAGAGCCTGTGACAGGGAAAAGACAGAAATCAGGAGGGTGACATGGCCACACACAGATCCATCACAGAAGTCCATCTAGGAGGTGGGAGAAAATTCCTCTCCCTGGTTTTAATTGCTGGGTGAATGACTGGGATCCCGGCAGAGTGAAGGGCCAGCCTTCAGACAGAGGCTGGGACAAGTGAGAAGGAGCCCAAGGCAGCTTTGCGGAAGAGCAAAGGTGACATTGACACCGTATTTGAAGGTCACTTTATAGTGGATGCAAGTGCTTCCTTAGCTTTTAGAACCGGGCCCTGCAGTAGGGGACAGGGAAACAGCAGCAGTACAGGGCAACGCTCACCTTGAACTTCACATCTGAGAACAGTTTGGGAAGTGGGTCGGGTTACACATGCCTGTAACCCCCAAGTCCCCTCACACTGTCCACACTGAAGAGTCCTTATTCTCTCCATGTCCCTGCAAAGTTGCTTGCTGTAGGGGGATTTATTATGGGTCTAAAAGGACAGATTCGGGGGATGGGACCTATTAGGTTGGATCACTTACAGATTGATGAGAATGTAGGGTAATGGGTTGAAATAAATACTGCTTGAAATCCACAGGGAACACTGCCTGTAGCGGACTTCTGGCGAGACATTCTTAGTGTGTGTGCCTATAGAATGGCTGCACTCACTTAGCATAGGTCTTTAGAGACTTCGTGAGATCTAATAGCTAAGGCAGCCAACCCCCCACGGTTTGGTTCAAAGTTCAGAGCTTCTCTACATCTGTGTTTTGGGCAGGTGAGTGCCACCATTGATGCCCAGGTTTCCCACCTGTAACAAACTCTATGCCTTTCGTTCATTAGCATATGGGTTAGGCAAATTTTAATGTGACAGACAGAGAAAACACTACATACCAGAAGATGTCCACTATGACAGGAAAGAGAATGGGAGACTTTCAAAAATGACAAGTTCTAGTCAAGTAGCTGCACCACCGAGTTTTAGAAAGTTCCTTGGCAGCTGTGCTTTCTGGGAGCTCCAGCAACCTGTTCACACCGTTCGTCATAGGAGTGTGCCATGTGCTACTAAGCCAGGAAAAAGTCAATACTCGGCATCAGAAACCTGGCTTCTTCCGAAGGAGCTTCACTGCTATCTCTCTGTAAAACTTAAGATTGCTGTACAGACAGAAGCTTGGTGTGTCCAGACTCTTCATATATGGCATGGTGGTCCCCAGATGGAGCTGTGAGCCACGGCTACTACTGTGCACTATGCTAGTGTGGATGGCCTCAGGACGGTGGTCCAGTTTTAGCCTGAGCCTCAGGGCTAGGCAGCATCCTTATGCTCCCTTCAAGGTCTCCGTTCTCAAAAGCAACTGTATAAACAAAGCATAAAACAGGGAAGAAAAGAAAAGCATCACCTGCAGATGATTCCTCTTGATCACAGGACAAGCTGCTGGAACTTCAAGCCAGCAGACACAAACCCTCGTCAGGCCTTTTAGAAGAGAAGCATTAATTTCTTTGTCCCTTCATCGCCTTGCTCCTCAGTTAGGCCCAAGATGCAGAGAGGAGAGACGGGGGTAACTAACATTTTCCCTCAAATAAGGCTTATGATCATTTCTCCTTATTTTATGAATCGAGTTCTCTTCTATTGCCTGAGACTGATAAGCTGGGGACAGTCTTGGGTCTCAAGCATCATGTACTCATTTTGTACAGGTGGCGTTAATTAACAGATGTCTGGCTGGTACCCGATTCAGCTATCCCAGGAGCACAGTGGCACCTGAGCAGCTGTGAGCATCCCACCGAAAGTCTGTGGCAGCCAGTGCCAAGTCTCCAGTTCTCCGGGCTGACATGGTTACATGGAACTGAAGTTTACTCCAATCTGAGAGGGTTTCCATAACAGTGGGTGGCAGAGGCCACATGCTGCGGTTCAAATACATGATGAATTTGGGCTTTTCAGTCCATGCCCTCTAAGTGCTGTGAAAGTGCTTATCAATATTGCAGATATGCCTTAGGCAATATGGTTTCTCCTGGGTGGCTGTTTCTAAGCTAGCTTGTGGGAGTCCTTCAAGGATCTGGAAAGACCAACAGGAGAAGGTGAAATTAAACCTGACACTGCCCTAAAATGCTGCTCTGTCTGAGATAGATGTGCGAATGCCCACGTAGGCTGTGGAGGTACGAGTTAGACATACAGAAACTCCACCATCTCCACCATCCTCAGACACAAGGTCTTTCAGGCACCGGTATTGACACCAATGGGCACAGAGATGGGGTGGATCTCATTCTAGAGCCAATAGATAGAAGCAGAAATGAATTCAAGAACAGTGCTTTAGAATGCTTAGGAAGAGACAAGGTAAATGCATTGTTGAGAAACCCATCAAATTTTGCATAGAATTTCTACCATGGAAGCCAAGTGAGTGGTCTGCATTCCAGCTTATGACCAATCTCCGCGGAAAACCTTGTTCTCAGTGGAGAGTCACGGGACATGAATTCAAACGAGATTGAACAGGCGCCGTTCGCTCTGTAGAAAATGTGCTCCTGTGGAGATCTTTCATCTTAGCTATTTTTAGTGGTGTGAAACACAAAAACGGAATAAAGATGTCAGCTGGCTGCAGCTTCCCCAGGCACCTGCAGGAATAATTTACATGACTGATGATGCACATCTGCATACGGAGACCACCATTCATCTTCCATATGAAGCAATGGAGTATGAGTTATCAGTGCAGTAGAAAGTATTTTTAGCAGTATGTGGCACGGACGCAGTGGAGTCCTAAGAGCTAAAAGAGAGGGGGAGGGAGAAGAGCTCATGTAAAATCAGCCTTGCTTATCTTCACTACAGTCACAGTCTTCAGTAAAAACAACACGGTTCTAGCGGCTGTTGATGAAAGGGCTGCAGGATGCATTATGCAGTGGCCATGGACTGAGAGCCCTGCTCCATCACAGTCTCCCTGAGAAAGCAGGAAACACCCAAGGTTCCGAAACTCCTTTTATGGACTTAGATGCAGTGAATGAGTGAGGAGTAAAAACCGAAGCCATTGTCAGAGAGTAGTGAATACTTTCGACAGTTCTAGTGATGACCCCTGGATTGTCCAACCGTCATCGCAGAATGCCCTCGACTCCTGTGTTATAAGCTATTTTGTTTGTAGTTCCAGTGTGTTTAGGCATGTGTGTTGATCACTGTTGACCGAACCCGAGAGAGCGTAGCATTGGCTCACTGTGCTAGCCCAGGAGGGGGGTCAGCCTCTGAGGGCTGTGGGTTCTCAGAATACAGTCTCCGGGAGCAGAAAGGAGCACAGCATAGGGAAAGGCTCAGGGTTGGGGGCATGTGAAGGACCTTCAGTGTGTAATGCATTGCAGGTTAGGCACCAAGGTAATCTCCTATCTCTGGGGCATCAGATTCCTCCTGGGCCTCCCAGTCACCTCAGGGTACATGGGAAGCAGGCAGGACTCAACAGAGCCTGTAGCTGGAGTTTTCTCTCCAGGTCCTGCCAAGCCCTGGCAGTCTGACAGCCCACTTATAAAACAAACACACAGACACTTATATTATTTACAAACTGTATGGCCATGGCAGGTTTCTTGCTAACTGTTCTTATATCTTAAATTAACCCATTTCTATAAAGCTATACCTTGCCACGTGGCTCGTGGCTTACCAATATCTTCACATGCTGCTTGTTATGGCGGCGGCGGCGGCTGGCAGTGTCTCCCTGACCCAGCCTTCCACTTCCCAGAATTCTCCTCTCTCCTTGTCCCACCTACTTTTTGTCTGGCCACTGGCCAGTCAGTGTTTTATTTATACAGAATGACATCCACAGCAAGAGCCATGGCATCACAGTGTATCTTGGGCACCAGTGGGGAGCAATGAGTGACTCATCATGGCTATCAGGGCTCTGCATACCCCTGGAAACCAGGTCAGAGAGTCAGAGTGTAAACACTGCAGGCCCTGGGTGCAGGGGACAGACCTGCACACGCTGATGTCCCAGAGCTACAGGGAGGCTTTGCTCTGGCAGGAGCTGGCACTCTTTGTCCTGTTCCACACGATGGCCGGCCGTGGGGCTCAGCAGTTCCATCCTTGGCGGCCTCCTCACCCTGCTTGTCTACACCGACTGCCAGTGGTACCAGCAACAGTCCCATGATGCAACTGTCATCCACCCTGTCTCTCCTGCCGCTCTCAACAGCAGCATCACTAACCATATAAACACACCGGACAAGTACAACTCGGTGAAGGCCATCACAGGAAGTAATCAGCAGTGACAGCTTCAACCAGGTGGGCCACAAAGGCAGGTGACGCTGGAGCTGCCAGCAAGGCTCGGTGTGGTGGTGATGGCGATGGCACTGGGCATTGGAATGGGGAGCCTTCCTGTGGTGAGCCGCTTCTAGCTTCCTGTCTGAGTGTTGCCTGAGAGATGGTGGCGTATCCCTTTGGGTACCTAGACCATAAAATAGGACAAAAGCAATAAATGAGGGCTGGAGAGATGTCTGGTGTCCAGCTTTGTCTCCTCTTCCGATTGGGAGGAAGGCTGTCACTTGAGAAAAATGCCTCTAGATGGCAGCCTGGGACAACTTTCGCCTGATTTTCAATTTCAACTCCTGCCCCCTTTCTTCCACAAGCACAGAAAATGGTTTTTTTTTTTTTTTTTTTTTTGTTTGTTTGTTTGTTTTTAGTAATCTAAGGTGGCATTTCACACTGCTGTTGTGAGCAGGAGTGTTTTTATTTTTCCCACCGGTCACTTAAAGCACTAATTTTCAAAGCAGACATTTTGTGTTCCCAAAGTCCCTAAGATGAAAAAAAAATGGGACAACCATCAGGTTTGGACTCAGGGTTGGGGTAAATGGGGCCAGCTAGTCACCCCAATAACCTACATTTATTCCTTTATGAGCTGAAGATAATGATACCAGCACTCTAATACTGTTGTAGCAATTAAATGAGGTCATCTATGTAATGCAGCTAGCAGCATGAAGCTTGCAAGTGCCTGTTAAGCTGCAGTCTGGGGGATGGGTAGGATGGTTAGAGCAGAAGTCTTAGAAGCAAGTCAGCCTGCAGTGGCCTTTGTAACCACTTAGTTTCTTTTTATCTCAGCTTCTTCATGTGTGCAGGGATATAACACTTTTTCTACAGTGCTCTAAACCGAGTAAAGCTTTAAAGGGCACATGAAGCCATGTCCAACAGAGTAGCTGGTGTTCACTTAGTGCCCACCCAGGAGGGTGCAGACTCCCAGAAAAGCATCCGATCTCCACCATGATACACCAACACCAGGTAAGTGGAATACGGAAAAAAGTATTGGATGACTTATATCTTTAAATCCTTAGAGAATGTGTTGCTGTCTCCTGTGTTCTGCCTATATCATTCATCATACACATTAGCGATTCTCCCAACATATCTGCCTCTGCCTCTTGGGTCTGACTAATTCAGAATCCATCAGCCTTTCTTATGCTTTGAGTGAAAGCCAGGGTTTGAAGCATCTTGAATTAAAAGCATACCACTTGTAGTCCTCTCAGAATGGGTTCTCGGTGGATGAAGAGGAAAATCAACTATGTGTACACAGACCTCTCCACTTTTTCTCCTGGACATTTCTAAAACGTGTCAGAAAAGAGTTTCTGGAACAGTACAGTCAGGATTTGTCTAAATGTCATTTCAGCAGGCGAGCTGGGGGCTTACAGCTATTTCAGACCTCTGGCTCTCACTCAGTTCATCCTTCAGTACACTCTGGGGAACAGAAACATCTTGGGCAAAGAGAAATGTTGCTGCCACACGGGCAGAAGACATTGGTGTCGCCAACTCATCCCCCAATCATTCATAACCCTTGGAAATTAATTCATCCAAAAACTAACCAGGCCAGACCCTCCCGGTGCAGCTTCTGAGAGTAGGTGAGATTGGGTGTATTCAGGGTGGTGTGGCTAAAGATCCTCTCAGGATGGCCTCTGCCATGGGACTTGGGTCAGATCTGGATAGAAGTCTGTGCCAGGCATCATTTCTTATGTTCCAAGCTCTCTCAGCACAAACCTTCAGCTGATGTAGTGTGGAATCTCAACTCCTGTCAGGGCCATGCAAGAGGAATGCTCTAGACAGAAGCAGGTGCAGCAGCCAGTGTACCAGCCATGCGCACACATGCAACACACAGAAGGGAGTCTGACCACCTGAAATGTGATGAATTACCTAAAAAAATTTCAGAGGTATTGTAATGTGGCCCTCGGTGGGAATTGAATTCTACTTGTATGTCTATTCACCTCCATTGATGACATGGATGACACTCTCTGTCTTGTGGTTTGAAATCAACAGTTTTGTGAGTTATTTTCTGTTTGCTGTTATAATATGTACCATACTTCTCTTGGGAACCTAATGTGTAGGAAGAGACTTGGAAAATAGATAAATGGTCTCCAATTTAGTAACAAAATAAGCCCAAAGAGAAGTGAGAATTTGGAATGCTATAAAATGAGAAATACAGCCAGGCAGTGGTGGTACATGCCTTTAATCCCAGCACTGGGGAGGTAGAGGCAGACACATCTCTGAGTTTAAAGCCAGCCTGGTCTACAGAGTGAGTTCCAGGACAGCCAAGACTACATAAAGAATCCCTGTCTTGAAAGACCAGAGAGAGAGAGACAGAGACAGAGACAGAGACACAGAGAGGGAAGGAAAGAGATGTATTTCCCCTGATAAGACTTTTGTAGTCAGTGCTGGGTATAATCTACTAGGTGATATCTTTCCTGTGCCTCCCCAGGAATTTGACAGTGCAACGTGATTTTACAGGAATGAAAGAAATACTTATCTATGTCTCAGAGGCAGGCCCATCCCAGTGTCGCTTGGTAGGCCTTGATCACACCAATGAATTCCAGCAGCTTTTGTATTTCTGTTCTCATTCTTCCCCTGGTCCGATAGGCCTGAGCTTCATGACTCTCCACGCTTCCGGGTCTCAGAATGAGGCATGATGCATTGCAGGCACACTTGAAGTCAGCAGTGCCCATGCTTGCAAGAACTCACATCCATTAAAACACAAATCTGCAGAGCACAGGGTTAAAATTCAGTGTGCAGTTCAAGACCACGGCTGGAGTGGCCTGAGAAGCATGGCTGGTCACGGTGTGGCATTTATAACTGTGATCAGCCAACTCTGACAAGTGGATTCTCTTCCATTTCTCTTTGTCTTGTTTTCTTTTCTCTCTTCCTTCCTCCCTCCCAACATCTCTCTCTCCTTTCCTCTCCTTTCTATTCTTCTCCTCTCCTCTCCTTTCCTCTTTCCCCTTTCTTTATTTGCAATTATAATTTACTCACAATGTAAATGTTTCTGGATAGTTGAGCACCTTTGTTCTTTGGATGTATCCGTCATACTCTATTGAGACCCCACTCACACAATGTCCATAGTAACTCATAGAATGAAGAAAATGACTGCTGCCAATCTCCCAACTCCCACAATTTGGGTGACTTGGGTCCTTCGAAACAGCTTGCTTATACTTGGATTAATTTCTGCCCAGAGATTCCACCTGCCCTGAACCTGCCCATTGATCCACTGAGACCCTTTGCTGTGGTCTGGGAAGTGACTGTCATCACCGTGAGGTGAACACAGAGAACAGAGGACAGACAATGAGAGATGCAACCATGTTCTGCAGCCTTCATTGAAACCGGCCTTACTCTGACATTCGATGGAGCTCCTTGCTGTAAGGATTTGATCCTTAATTACGTCATCAGCCTTCGCCAGCTTCCCAGCCTAAAAACAGGGTGAGCCCTTTGTGGGCTCTCTGTCCCCTCTCCTCTCCGCTCCTTCCTCCCGTCGGCTCCCCTCTCTCCCTCCCCCACCTTTTGTGTCTCTCTGTCTCTGTTCCATGCAATAAAGCTATAAAAAGGTAACCATGGCTATGATTCTTTTAATCAGCCACGCTGCTCTACCGGCATGGTCGCCACAGGCGGCGACCAGCCACGAGGGGTAGCGCTGCGGCATAACCAACACTTGCCATGATGTGGGCCTGGAACATGGCCCTCCTGCACAGTAGGAATGTGCTAAAGAGCCAGTCTTAGCATGTGGGTAGGTGGACTCCACACCCCTTCCTTACCGCAGAGAAAAATCTTGAATATTTATAATGCTGATTATGGAAAGTATTGAAAGTACCAAACCAATTGAAAGCTGTATGTGTTATGCAGTTTAATGTTAACTGGCAAGCCTTGTCTTGAATTCTGTCTCCTTGGTGTACAGCAAAGGGTTCCGACCAAGTGGAAAGGTAAGAAAGCTGTCCCTCACCAGCCCTAACAACCAGCCCCACCTAGTCCTACTTCTTCCTGCCCAAGGCAAAAGAGTTTCAAGGTCTGTCTTAAGAGATCAGGGACTTAAAGAAAGGGTTGAGGCCGGGCGGTGGTGGCACACGCCTTTAATCCCAGCACTCGGGAGGCAGAGGCAGGTGGATCTCTGTGAGTTTGAGGCCAGCCTGGGCTACAGAGTGAGTTCCAGGAAAGGCGCAAAGCTACACAGAGAAACCCTGTCTCAAAAAAAAAAAAAAAAGGGGTTGAGATCTCTGTTGTTTGAGTCTTGATCATTGGTTAGCTACAGAGTGACATCAGATCATTTGTAGGTCCCCAGGAGAAAAATATATTATTCATTAACAATTGATATCGACATGTGGCAGTTTGTTGGATAATTGTTGTAAATAAACACAAAAGAAAATTGTCATTCATTTCTGGATATGTGACAAAAGTTAAGAATAGGCCTTAATGCATGTTCTTGTTGATGACTTGATCTTCTGATTCTGTAAATATGTAGACATTGAGAAACAGACTTGTGTGTGTGTGTGTGTGTGCGCGCGCGCAACAGCCAAAAGTTGACATCTGGTGTCTTTGTCTTTCGCTCTTCACCGTATGTTTTGAGGCAGGGTCTCTCACTGAACTGAAGCTCACTGATTGAGATAGGCTGACTGGATAGCCCTTGAGCCCCAGGAATCCTCCTGCCTCTGCTTCCCCAACACTGAGATTACAGCTGCATGTTACCTGACTCTTTATCGGAGTTCTGTGGATCTAAACTCAGGTCCTCATTCTTGTGTGGCGAGGATCTCACTTACTGAACTATTTCCCTTGAGAAATAGACTTTGATTGGCACACGTGTTTCTGTTCCATACAATGTGAAGAAATGAATTTGGATGATGCATGTATCTCATGTCTTTCAGTGAACATGGCAGATTTCACATGTTCAACTTCACAGAAATAACACTGTACTGAAGTTAAAACTAAAGTAGGTGGTAGATGCAGAGCTGTCCACTAGGCACAAGGTGACTGATCAGTCTTCCTAGACGAGAGAGCTACATTGCATCGCTTTTCTTCCAGGTGACTTATAGTATTGTATCTGATGCCGTAATTAAAGATGCATGACATTGCACATTTCTCAAAACCCTGGGGACTGTACAGCATAAGGAATCAAAATAATGTATTAGATACTTTGGTAAGTTACAATGTGCTGATATTGTTTGACCATTTATAACAAATATTCCACATTAAGAAAAGACTTATAATAGAAAAATTGTTCTGGGAAGAAATAATATATGGTAACTATGTTTTCAGCCCATTTTTTTCTGTAAACATTAGGCTAATATCAAAATTAAATCCATTAATTTTTATATTATTTTTGGATGAAAGAAAAAAATTAGAATACTGTTTTCTATTACTTTATTTATTAAAACTAGTTATAAAAATACCATCTATAGGTTACTGAAAGCTATTTTCTTCTATCAATATACTTGTTTTCTTAGTTATCAGGTAGAGAAAACACATAGGCAGGTACTGATGTAGATGCCCCTACAGACACACTGGCAGAAAAATGCCATAAAAATAGACACAAGAATTAACTGCATTGGGGAAAGATAACTCAGTCCCCCACAATGTAATATAACTCTCACTTGACGTGTCATATGATGTCAAGAAGAGTACCAGCTCAATTAAAAATTACATCAAAAAGCAAAACTCATGACAAGAGAGATGACTCAAGGGTAAAGCTCTGTGGACCAAGGTGCAAGGTCCAGGAGGATGTTCTCCAGTCTCCACTGTTACATATGTATAAATTTTGAAAAAATATATTTCCAATTAAAAGAGAATTGCATCACTTTTCCCCCCTCTTTCCTTCCTTCCTCCAGCCCCTCCTAGGTACCCTTCATCCAATCTCTACCATTTCCCTCACCCTCAAACTGATGGCCTCTTTTTCTTTGATTATTGTTACATATGTATAACTGTGCATGTATGTACACACAAATATATAAATGCAATGTGCTGAGACTCTTTGTTATTTGTGTGTATATGGTTTCAGAGCTGACAACTTTGTATGGAATAACCAGTAATGAGGCTGTGATGGTTTGAATGAAAATGGACCCCATAGACTCATAGACAGTGCCACTATTAGAAGGTGGCCTTGTTGGAGGAGGTGTGGCCTTGTTGGAGGAGGTGTGGCCTTGTTGGAGGAGGTGTGGCCTTGTTGGAGGAGGTGTGGCCTTGTTGGAGGAGGTGTGGCCTTGTTGGAAGAGGTGTGGCCTTGTTGGAATAGGTGTGGCCTTGTTGGAGGACGTGTGACACTGGGGTGGGCTGTGCAGTTTCAGAAACCCAAGCCAGGACCAGTGGAGTACTTGCTCTTCCTGCTGCCTGCCAATCCTGATGTACAACTCCCAGCTGTCTCTCCAGCACCGTGTCTGCCTGAATGCCACCACGCTTCCCTCCATGATGGCTAAACTTCTGAATTGTAAGCCAGCCCCAATTAAATGTTTTCTTCTATAAGAGTTGCCATGGTCATGGTGTCTCTTCACAGCAACACAACCTTAACTAAGATAGGGCTCATCCCTATCCCTGGGAGAGGCGAACTTCTTCCTCTCCCAGCAGTCATTAGTTGCCTATATAGTTCTTTGTCTAGGGGTGGGGCCCTGTGACATTTTCACCCTCCCGTGATATCATGTCCGTTAATAACAAACCACAACAATGACCAGCACAGCAAGATATCTGTGAAGGTTCAATAACATGTTGGCATTTACATGTTGGTGGTAATTGGATGTAAGGTCCACTCAAGAGGAGGAAAATCATACCTAGATGCCTAGACAACTTCCCACAGTGATGAGCAGCAATGTGGAAGTGTAAGCCACATAAATTCCTTCCTCCCCAACTCACTTTTTGGTCATGGTGTTTTGTCCCAGCAGTAGAAACCCTAATTAAGACAGTGTGAACGGGGGTTATTTGCTTGAGTGAGGGCTATGTATCAGTTTGTTTACTTAACGATTTGCCTTTGCATTGCTTCATAGCCCATTTCCTGTTATTGTTGATCAATATCCCATCGTGTGGAATTGGTTATTTTCATTACTAAATCTATTGAAATATATCTCGGTCACTTCCAGATCTGGATAGTTGTGAAAATGATAGCATGAGCTTTTGTACCTGTACTAGTTTTTGTAAGACCAGATATCCTAAAATCAGTTGGGTAAAACCCAATATTATCTGTAGATCACATGATCATCTTCTTTTTCTGCTTTAGAAGAAAGCACTAAATTATTTCCCAAAAATGGCTGTTGGCTTTTTGTTTCACAACCAACAGTGAGCAAAAATTTCTCTTGCCACACATCTTTGGAACCATGGTAGCCTTGGTATTTTGGATTTCCCTCATCTTCACAGGTATGTGATGGTATGTAATTGATGTTTCAGTTTGTTGTTTTACAGAGAGCAATTGGTTTAAGATAACATGAGCTGTGCTCTAAGTGTCTCCACTGTGTGTGATTGGTTTAAGGTAACGTGAGTTGTGTGTGATTGGTTTAAGGTAACGTGAGCTGTGCTCTAGGTGTCTCCACTGTGTGTGATTGGTTTAAGGTAACGTGAGCTCTAAGTGTCTCTACCATCTGTGGAATGGTTTGCTGCCCCATCACTGTGCCACCGCTGCCCACGTGTGCTGGGGTGCTCTCACCCAGGCCTTCTGTGGTGACTTACCCGTCCCCAAATCCAGTCTGCCGCCTTCACTAGTACCTCTGTCCTAGAGATGCCCTGCCTTGTTGAAATGTTTGAGACTCCTGCTGAAACCTCTGGGAACACTGGCTGTAGCTCTCATTTCTGCAGGGCTCTGATTCTTTGCATTTCCTTTTGCTAGCAGGAAGACAACTAAAGACTAATACTCCTATGCTGCGCCAAGTAATTTAATTGCTCTGTGAGGAACACGGTATTAAATGACATCAATTACAGTTTAATTTCTGTGTTATTTCTGGTTACAGTTTGCCAGGTTTTCATTAGGAATCTGGCTCTAGACTGACATTTAAAATCTTCATAATTGAATCCCCTGTGTTGTTCAGGGTCGTTTTTTTTCCTACTAGACTAATCACTACCCAATACAGTTCTTATAGCACACAGGTACTTCGGTGGGAAGAGAACTTCACAAGAAGTTTTGCCAAATACCTCCTGGAGCTGTGATGGAAACTGAGGGCGTTGTCACACCTAAATGATAGGAGCTCTGGATTCTACAAAATCCTGGGCAGTGAGTCAGGCTCTGCCAGAAAGACATCAACTGTTACCAGGCCCTGAGCTACACTTCAAGATTTCCCACTTTCCTCTGGGCCATCTTCTATGCCTCTGACCCTTGAAATGCACATTTGAGCATCTCTGTTCCTGCCCAGGTGTTCCACTAACCTGTTCAGTTAGATTCTCACTGCAATTAGCATTAACATTAGAGGAAAATGGGGGGCGGGCAATTCTTGTATCCATGGGGTAGTGAGAAATGATGCTAAAGATACTGAAGGGGATTAAAGGCATCCCTGCTGTGGAGACA